CACACACACGCACACGCACCTCGGGAGAATGAAGTAAAATGAACCTTTGATAGGAGGCAGCTGTATGATCGACTAGGATAACTCATAAACCTGCAAAGTCCAACCCCCCTCCTCCCCCCCGTGCTGAAATCTATGAACGTCATGTACAACTTTTCCTGATGAACATGCATTTAGGTGGTGTCGGAAGGGATGAAGATACCCGGGCAAGACTGACTACGGAGGTGGCGCCACACATCAACTCTTAAAATCTCGCCTTCACGATGGAGACAGATCTCGGCCTCGCTTAGGGTTCTCTCAATTCTTCAAGAAGGAATCGTCGGAGACGTAAACTCGTCGAGAAAGGTAGGCCCATGGATGGACGGATTCACTTTCGTATTTCTCACTCGATTTCGCATTCCGAAGGGGTTCTTTCGGGTCGAGGGCGAAAGATCGGCTACGACAAGACGTCCTAGTCAATCGGAGGTATATTCTATTGAACCTCTGCAGTCTTTGCACGTTGCTTCTTTCCCTTTTGTATCCAAAGGTGTTTCGTCACGAAAGAGCATCAGAATCGACAGAATGAGGAAAGGGAAAGTTCTTAAATCGTGAAACCTGCTTTCCTTGAAAACAGTGGCATACGCCACTTCCAAACATTCAAACTAAAAAAAAAAAGAGATTCTGCAAGGCTGTCAGTTCGTCGATCCAATAGCCAAAAGAAACCGAGAGAGAAAAGTGATCGACACCACCCTGAAACTCCTGGAATTTGAGGATACTTCCAACCTTCCAGAATTGACGCTCAAAAGGGGACACGAATCCCATCTCGGAAAAATCAAATCTCTTGTCAATTCAACGAACGGGAGAACCGGGCTAGATCTCTTCTGGATCCATCACCTTCCATATTTCCTGCCTCGGGTGACAGGTAGAGGAAAAAGAAATTCCATTGAAGCCTGTTCTTTCTAGAATTTGATGGAAGTGAGTTATTCCAGGTGATTTCTTGTTTGCAGAGCTTGGGTCCATGCAGAATACAGGATATAAAATTAAACACGTTCGCATTATTCTTCTCATCGAATGCCAAAAAATATGATTAAAGGGTTGGGGAAAACTTGCAATGGCTTTTCAATTCCTGCTCACAAACTTGGCCTTCAATTGAATGTTTCGCTACATCCCGTAATAGATGTCATTAAGCATACATTGCATATTCAAAGCAACATTCCAGTTTTCATGCCAACAGTCTCATTGACCGCGCTTAACAGCAATGCATGGTATTCCTACGAGGCAACAAGCATAAGCTCCTCACATTCATACAGGCGGTTAATTGATTGTATAACTGGCAGTACTTCATGTTTCAATATGGCTTATTTTTGACCACGTTTATTTTATTTCATGTAATAATTAAGAAGACATTGAGCTTTGATTTACCCCAATTGAATCCCTTCCAAGAAGAGACAGTCATCTTTGGGAAATCTGATCACCCAGATATTTCTATGACCTTCAAGTATTTCTAAAAGTCACATATGGGACTTAGCTTTTCATGCCTCCAGGAGATATCCCTGAAACAAGTTTGGGATATACTTCTACTATTAGAGGTTAATGGATCCCTTTCAATGAGTCATACCTTCGGGTATTCGCTCAGACATTTTCAATACACTAACATATTAAAAAACGGCCTTTACAGAACTTCTAATTGCCTTAATTGCGGAGATGTCTCTGGGATGTACTTGTGCCATGTGGATATGGAGAGCCAACAGGGAAAAAGTGCTCACTTTCCTTTTTCAAGTGCAAGCACTGGTGATCCCAAGCACTGCAGTGCTGGTCTACAAGTTCAAGAGGATGAAATCAAATCTGGCATGACATTACAGAAACATTGTCTGGAAAGCTGAGACAGTACAATATAATGAGATATTAAAATCAATTTTACAGACATGTAACATTCCCATACCCTTTAGTGTACCCTTGCTTTATTCTACCACTCTAGTCTCCTGAGATTTTTTATCTGAGCACTCAAGCTGATCAGAAGCTAGAGTGGAGCTCCTGGGTAAGAAAAATATTGAGAACCACTACTCCAACCAGCTCATTCATAGAATGCATAATTGTAAATATGCTTTTGGAAAGTACTGAGAGAAGACAAAGAGAATGAACACAAGACTTGGGTAAAACAGGGGAATAAAAGATTCAGTTGATAATAATGGTCTACCTTGGCAAACACCTCTGCACTTAACCTTTATTTCGAGACTGACTCCCCTACACAGAAGAGATTTTTCATTTATGAATCATTTGATCACTCAAGGCTCAAATACATGGTAATTCAAAAAGAAGGTAACACTTTCACATGTTTATAATGAAGTAACCACTGAGCCTACAATGATGTGATATGTATCAATTGTTAGGATAACTCTCAAAGTTTGTTTGTAATTGACACGGGAAAGTGTTTTGCATTTGCGCTGCCAGGAAAGACCATGTTGCAAAAATGGCGACTCCACAACAAAATTCTCAAATTCAGTTCACATTCTCTTCCGACACACAGGGTCAACCCATACTTTTCCCTTCACAGATACAACCTTTATCTTCAAACTGCTGACACCAACTGTAAATGGTCTTCCTAGCTGGTGGATCAATTCCATAATGTGTGTGGAACAGCCATTGCACAGTTGTTACAGAGTTGGTCTTTGCAAACTGCAGGACACAGAACACCTTTTGTTGTGGAGTCGCCATTTTTGCAACATGATCTCCCCTGGCAGCGCAAGTGCAAAACACTTTCCCATGTCAATTACAAACAAACTTTGAGAGTTTTCCTACCAATTGATACATATCATGTCATTGTAGGCTCACTGGTTACTTCATTATAAACATGTGAAAGTGTTACCCTCTTTTTGAATTACCCTGTACAAGTCTCTTAGATTGAGACAAAGCCATTGGGTGAAGGGCACACTCACAATCACCAAGCAAGCAATCAGAGTTGAGCTTTTATGACTGAATACAAAATAAATGCAGAGACTAGGTGAGTTTCCATCCCTGAAATCTGATTTATTGATCATAAATATCACTGACCATTTATTTTACCTATGGGATGAAGCTCTATGTAACATAACGTTCCCAACGTGGCCCCTGAGGACGAGGAGATGCGATGAGACGAGATGGCCTGACACAGTAGGCAATCCTCGATCCACAAGTGTGCCAATGAGACAAGCATGCAGAGACTGCCACACACAAGCACAGATAAATCAATGACTGGAATGCCTGGCATTATATGAATTCAGGTCCATCTATCAATGATGTCTTCTTCAGTGAGGTTCGCTTAAAACTGCACCCATCCGCTCGTGTCAGGTTTTGTATTCGGTTGAGTCTGCATTGAAGTTTGCCTGAAGGAAAAAATAAAGGTCATGTCAAGAAAGTTACTGCTCTTTAGAGTGCACAACAATAGGACTATTAAGATTGTTAATTTGTAAGCCCCTTCTGAAAATTTATACAACAGCAGGCTACCTGGATACCTTTAACATCTCTTTCCTACGTTAGAAAGAAACCACACTTAGTCCCATCCTTTCTATCTCCCATTTTGTATGTCTAAGGCTACCTAAGAATTATCACCTTGATCTGGGTGTGAAGAGGTACCTACACGAATTCAGGCAAGACATAGTTAGAGATCATCATCGGTGAAATACAAACTAAATGCGGGTCTTCACTGGTGCTAGATATCTTGCATCTTTCAACAGGTAGTTTTGAGCAACTGATCTTTTGATAAGTGTGACTCTGGAAGGCTTTGACTTTTTTGACCATAAGATTCTTATGCAGAAACTGTGCATGCATGCAGAATGGGAACTCGGAGTCTCACGCTGAGGCAGATGTGAAATCACCCCAGTCTGAGGTACCAGACGAGGAGACCATGTCTTCAAATGGATTCTTTGGTACTGATGCTAACTGGGGACGATGAGATGGAGATAATCCTGGTGGAGGTGGGAGCTTCACTCCACCTGGTGGAGGTGGGAGTATCCCTGTATTGGCTCCATGCTGCTTTGGTTTTCCTTTCTCCAGCTCATTTCCTTCCTTTTGCTACAAGTGAAATGACACATATCCATCCATCATATACAATTTGGCCACCTGGCATATTCCATTACAAGACAAATCATATCAATCTAAGATTTGATTTGAAAGAAAGTGATGATTCACATGATATGACAACAAAATCCAAATAAGTAAAATGTCAGATATTCAACTGATAGGAAATTCCAGATACTGCTATGTTGGTATGAGCATGGTACATTAACCCTTTGAGCAGTGAGTTCTAACCTGGGTGGGCCTGCAAGAGTGAGTTTTTGCAGCGTTTTGTAAAAAAATTTGCAATGATTACAAGTCAATGCTGTTAATGCTGCTCAAAGGGTTGGTCAAAATTGTAATCATGCAGATGTATAATTTTATGACTCACTAATGAAATCAAGTCATATATTTGTATGTTAAATCATTTGATCAAAACTCTAATTGAAAAGATTTAGAATTTTTTTGTGCTTTGTTAAACAAATAGTCTAACTCAAAAAGGTACATCCAAGATCAACCTCACCGCAATCTTGACATTGATATTGATGGTCTGGCCCTCCTTGAACTGAAGGTCCAATGATGGAACAGGTTTTTCACCCTTCTCCTCCTGTTCCAGCTCTTCTGACTTCTTCACCCATTTGAAATGATCTTGTAAGGCGACATTGAGGTCGAAGCTATCTGAGCGATCGGCAAAGCCTACTCCCACAAAGGCCGTGCGACTAGCTTTTATGCATAAAATAAATAACACTTGAGTTCAAATGAAGGAATATTAAGTTTTTTCCTCCTACTGTATTAGTACTTTAGACCAGAACTTATATTTTAAGGGATAACATGACAAAATATTATGCATTTTCCAGCTCCTACCATTGGTCTACAGAGGGATCTACAATGAAAGCCTCATTATTATTTTAAAGTAACCTTCAAAAAAGATAATTAACCTATGGGAGATTTAAAGGGTTCATCATTTAAAATTAACTAGGGTCTTCTCCCTATAATTGTAAGCTAATTCTTCTTACCCAATTCCTTTTTTTTGTTTTTTAAAGAATTCATATTAACTTTTTGAGCAGGTATCACTCCAAGTGGGATTGTCAATAGTACAATTGCATGAAGGAATTGTGAAAGCAAGATATTATGCTCTATTTAGTACTGGAAATGGATCAGAAATATATTTGAAAACCTAAACCTAGCTTCACAAGTTTCATGCAAAACAAAGTACTCCACACAAATACTTCATCTTTGAAGCACATGTTGAAAAGATCATTGAAATCAACCTGACCTGAGTCATCTTGAATTCGGATGACAAAATATCTGGAAGAATCAAGAACAGATTCCACAGAAAGGCCAGGATATTGGTCAATGGGGCATTGACCATACAGTTGGCCACTGATTTTGTCTTCTAGCTTCAAAAAGCACTTCTTTCCCTTCACAACCAAGCGCAAACGTCCAGTCCAGTCTGGGGCCCCCAAATTCCAGTCTGCAGCCCTGAAAAATATGACATCAATTAGGTGATACAGCCTTTCTTTTTTTTTCAATTAATTAGACTTGAACTTGACATATAATTTGAATTAAATAAATCATGTTTATATGTGAAAACCTGATACTTAAATTGTTTTAGCAGAGTTAATACCAATAAGCATTCCAATGCACATTTTGAACTGAATACTCAAGGAAAATAGTTTTCTTTAAAAATATACTATGTTCTTGTTCTGGTAAAATATGAAAACAGATAGTGCAATTGTGAAAAACAGTCTAGGCACTATTTTAAATTTTAAATGCTAAAGACCTGGGTTTGGGCAATCATAGGCTTACCTATAGCCTCGAGAGGTGGTTCTTGGTGGGATTTTGTAGACAAAGACTTCATTCTTGACTAGTAACACACTTTCATAATCTCCTGCAGCTTCCATTGTAACTGAGTCTATCCTGTAGCAATTCAGATATCAAGGCCTGGATCCTTCCCAGGCCACAGTCAAGATGAGCAAATTCAAAAGAGGTTAAGTAGCCTTCTGGTATAAGTAAAGACGTCAATCTGCAATGATTAAGAATTGGAGAAGAACATCAGGAAACAATGCCATATGGCAAATTGGAAAGATTAGTCCTAACTAAACAATTAATTTAATATAAAAAATAAGACTGAAGCATCCATTTTTCAGAGGGTCAAATTAGTGATCAGGAATCAAAGCCAGACAGAAAAAGCTAAAGCTAAACACAACAAATATGGTCCTGTATTTATATTCAAACAACCAAAAAAGAAAAGATTTCAAATGGGTCAATTTTTGTGGCCAAGAAGCAAACTGGCAAAAGTTCACTTTATTGGAAGTAGTTTAAATTTGCTTCTAGGGCTTCTACAGTAGAATACAATAGTCTACAGTAGAATACAGGAACAATCAGCCACTTATATAATATGAGGGGGGGGGGGGGGGTAGAAAAGTTTGTGCAATTTAATTTTTACATTCATAATGCTAGCACCTAAAATCTGCATCTTATTTTATGATTATGGCAAGCCTGCATGACATTCCTTAAATTTTACAGATTGGCAAACCTTGCCAGAGCAGAAGTAAACAAAGATGGCTGAGGTTCCTGTGAGAGAGCAGTGGATTGTGACAAAACTCCTAGTGACTGAGGGTGAAAAGGCTGCATCCATCCATGAATAGCTGCAAAATGTTCACAAGGACCAATGCTTGAAAAAAGTAGCGGTGTTCTAGTGGGTGGAATGTTTTAAATCCAGACGAACATCAATTGGTGACCCTCCCATAGGCTGCCACAGCACATTTGTCACTGAAGTCAACATTCAATGAACTCATTTGGGCATACCATCACATTTAAGCCAATCAATTGAAGCATCAAATTAGTCCTTAAAACTTTTCCAGCTATTTGTGGATGGATGTGACAGGGTCAGACCAGCAATCCATGTCCCCTGGGAAATTGCTGACGAGAAGCCCTACATGTCTCCATCCCCCCCCCCCCTCCCTCATAATGCAGACCAAGGGGTCCCCACTGCAAGGTGTAGAGGTCCTTTGGTCTGGGGAGACCTCCTGGGAAATTTCCCAGTATCCTGGTGGGCCAGTCCAACCCTGGGATGCAGTCTTCTTACCCTCAGTCACAAGGAATTTTGTCACGACAAATATGTGTAAGATATATGTCTGCTCTTCAGTATGTGGATGAAGTTTCTCTCCAGGAGGCCAAACATGCTATAAACTCAATAATAAAAAGTTGGCACAGAGAGGGTTGGGGTGCCTGTGCTTGGCACAGACACCAGAACCAAGATCATAACTCCTCAAGCAAGGATGCTCCTCCCAGTCCAAAAGGAGGCCTTATGGGGAGCTCACAGAGTGCAAGGCTCATGAGTTGCGTGAGAGTGCTGTATCGCACTAAAGAAACACTTCCTGTGAAGGTAGGTGGGTCACCTGGACTTGGCACCCCATTTCCTAGTTTTCACTTGAAAGCTAAAACCACTTAGCCACTAAATTCATTCTTATAGGGAGGGAAGAGAGAAATTTTATAATATTAATAAAAACTTTAAACTGGGAAACATTATCAGGCTAAAGGTCTTGCATAAAATGTTGCAGAAAACCTCAACCTATACAAATTGTTTCACTCTGAAAATGTTGCCACCCCTCTAGTGCCTGTTTGTTTCTTCTGGACCCCATGACAATTCTTCAAAACTTTAACAGATTTGAAAGCTTTCAGGGAATTGGCAAATGGCCTATATAAAAGCAAATAAGCAAAATGACAATAAATAATATCCTTGAATGGATTATTGCAAATTCAGTGCACTTGCTAGTCCCACCCAGTTAATTGGACAAATAGATGAATCAGGGTTATAAAAACCCCACATGTTTCAAGAGGGGAGAATATTGAGAATATAATGATATGAACCATGAATACGAACAATGAAAAATGCAACACTCTATGCACAGAATGCATCACCTCAAACTCAGGATCTGCTGTGGAGATTACTTGTTCTTTTGTGCATATGTTACTATTGAGACTACTTGTTGAAAGCCAAAGTCAAAACTAGTCAATTATTTATTCACAATTAGGTATTTATCATGTGAGTTTGGCTTGGATTCACTCCACTGAAGCTGAGTCCCAATATCCAAGACAGGAATCTCTGCATCAATCTTCGAAAATGTCGTTTCTCTGTTAAACCTGAGCAGAGTCCCACTGTGCAGGACTCATGCTATCATGGTCTCTGCTGGAGTAACCTGAAGCCTAAAATAGATTACCACAATCGACGTTAGTTGCAATGGAGTACCGTGATGGGCGAAGTCCATGCGTGACATCGATTCCTGAGCGAGGGAACTTTTACTTCACGACTCCACCGTAGAACCCAGTGAAAAGTATGGAGCACGAGTAAAGGTATACAAAGATAATCTGAAAACACTACGTGACATCATGGATTAATGCGAAAAAATTGGAATGCCGAGGAAGAGTGCTGTTTGGCGAAGCCTACGGCAAACTAAGTTATAAATTCTAACAAAGTCATACCTCGGCCTAACGTTAAGGCTATACACTGCATAACTCAGCGAATGCTTACTCGTTGAGCTCGAGAGCAACGGAAGCAGCATAAGATAATGAATGAAACATTTCCTCGTGTCTAGACCTACGTCAGCTCAAGTCAAGCGATGCAATCGTCGAAAACTCCCAGTACAAGTCCATGACATAGCCGAGATGCTGAAGCGCTTGGAAGTCACTGCGTGGGGCCATCTTTCACCGCCACCCACCGAATACGGGTGCCAAATAACGGATGTATTTTCTAGACCTGAGAGCAAGGATCTCGCATAAGGGGTGTGATCACGAACCGGTCCGGACTTTCGATTGTCCGTCCAGCAACCGTGTCCAAGCTGCAACAATTTCCTGCATTGATTGAAGAAATATATATAAATGTAGATATTTTCTACTATTTTTACTGCATCTTTGAAGTTTCGAATGCAATGTGTTTCTGGAGTTACTCAAGTCTAGACAATCGGGAAGAACCGATTTTGCGCGATTGTGTCCCCCCCCCCCCCCGAATTCTGGCTCCCGACAAGGCACGAGGGCCTATTTATCAAGTCGTCAAACCTGTCATATTTGCTGTTAAAAATGAATTGGCGGCCATTCTGGCGAGACTGTGCAGGGGAGACGGGCGACTGTAGGTTTAATTTCATTTCACGTACAGTTGCCCTGAGGGGCATCAACAGGGGAAGGGGTCAACCCGGGTCAACAGCCTCCCATCTTTCTAAGTGTGGATGGGCAAAAGGTTGGTTTTGTCCCCGTCCGCTAAAGAACAGATTAATAGAATTGTCTCGTTTGCTTATCACAGCAGTTCTTAAACCATATACAGGGTAGGCCAAGGAAAAGGACAGTTTTCAACGATACACTACACTTCGCGTATTTTAATGCGGTTTGCGGCATTTGAAAGAGGAACAAATGAGCTTTAAAGTGATTGTTTACCTTTCAAATATATTCAGCAGTTTCAGAAATTCCGGAGCTCATATGAACAGCAAACAAAAACTGTGTTGCCGCGTTTTTAGAAGGAGACGACATGTGACCTTAAGTCACGAAGGCCGCCGCCTGTCCATCCCTGTCCTGTTCTGCGGTAACGTCATTTTTGCTTGGTGAGCAATGAGCAATATGAGCTTCCGAATTTCTGAAACTGCTGAAGATATTTGAAAGCGCAAACCCTATTAAAATATATGCTGTGAGTGCAGTAAAGTGTACCGTTGAAAACTAGGGCTGTCACGATAGGTCGATGCATCGATACCGCTATCGATAGTTGGAGATATCGATAGCTTTTTCGACCATCGCGTTGCATCGGCAAAAGATTTTAAAGGGGAAATGACCCATTGGATCGAGGCGAGTACAGTTCAATACAGTCCGTCCCGGCGGGAAAGGAAGAAGCGGCGTGACCCGAATGGATTTGCGATTTTTTATCACTATCAAATTCCGGAAATGCTGGGACTGACTATATGAAAGACGGGAAGGGAAAAAAAAATCGGATCGGAGAAGTGGGAAAGGAGAGGGGGGAAGACCGAGAATATTATTTTTTTATAACGTCAGTTTCAGTCTCCGACTCGATCTCATGAGGTGCATGCTGCGGAAGTGGACTGTTCTTATACTCCCTTCATTTCGAAACGGACATTGGTTAATCCTTTCTCTATATTCCTGTCTATTACTTTAGTATGCAGGGTTAACTTTCTTCATTCTTAACTTGCCTTAGGGCGTTTTATACTTGGGGCGTTTTTCTACCAGAGGTGAAATCAAAGTGAATGTGGACGTTACTTATTCTAGGGTTGTACTGATGTTTCGGCAACCGCCGGTTTGGCACCATCGGCAGGTTTCCTATCTGCCGGCGCCGATGTCCAAAGACAGTGTAGAACGAAGAAAATTAGGGCTGCCCTGATGCATCCATCGATGGATGGATGTCATCTTCGATGGTTGGTTGCATGGGTGATATGATTGACGGATAGCATAGTTGGTTTCATTGCTCTTTGCGAAGGTCGCACCTTCCCCTTGCACCCCGGATCACAAGCGTGAGATAATAAAAGCCAGATAGAGATCCGCGCTCCGATCGCGGCGAGAAAAGATGGAATCCCCCCCCCCCCCTCCCCTCGATGCATCGATACACTATCGATAGTTTAGGTCGATGCATCGATGTCTTGAAAACTGCTATCGTGACAGCCCTTATAATAGTCACATAACTGCATGAATGTGTCTCAAGGTCGCCAAGTGAATGTCTTTAATCATCTGATACGTATAAATATATATAAATGAAAAATTATGAAGCAATGACCTGGGTGGCTTTTCTCCGAATCCCCTTTCCTTCAACGTTATACCAAAGTGACCAGCCCACCTTCACATATAGCCAACCTTGCCGACATTCAGGCAATGCAGGCCTAATGTTTCATACTCTCCGGGTATCCAACGCTTCCTTAATGTCAAACAGTATCATAGCGAGGGAGGCTGGGGGGCGGGGGGCTTCAATCCCCCCAAGTTTGGTTCAAGTCCCCCCAACTCCGGTCTAAATACATCCGTCTCCCCCCCTTCCGGGCGAGGAGAAGAAAGTCCCCCCACCGTTCCACTTAGCCCCCCCATTGACGAAATCCTGGCTACGTCACTGCTGTCAAACATTCCTAAAACAAGCTGCCAAGTGCTTCATCATAGTACAGCGTCGTTATGTTGCACATAGCCTCAGGTGAAAGGTTAGATTCAAAGTTAGGGCTCTTTTTTGTTGTCATAACCTGTATGTTATGATCTAATATGTATAGAGGATTGTGACTGACTGACTGATGGGCGCTGATTCTAACCATGTTCTAGAGAAGTGAGAAATCTGAAACTTGGTACGTAGGTACCTGAATGTATACATATCATAGGATGCTGAATTCAGAAAAATGCAGACTTTGGAGGTAAATGCCCTGGGGGCACATAATTAGGGGAGATATGTTTTCAATGACTTTTTTTGCTTCAGTCAAATGGAGAGACCTGGATAGCTAAAATTGACAAGAGCGTACCGACTAAGATACTGAGTTCAGAAAAATGCCACATTTCAGATACATCTCCTGGGGGTATATCTTTTTTGGGAGTTGACCTTTCCAAATAATTTTTTTGTCCTAGCGAATCGGGCAGAAATACAGGGTGTTAAGAAAGTTGTGTGAGGTTATTGGCAATATGCCAATAACCTCAGCAAAAATTTAAAAATCAGGAAATTTTTAAAATACACAATAACAAGGACAGTTAACTGATTTAGAATCACTTAATAGTTTTAAATATAGCCGCCCTTGGCACGGATGACAAGGTTCAGACCACCCATGAAAACATTGACTGATTTTCGCCAGACTTCCTGTGGAATTCGCTCCGATTCTTGGTTCAGGGATAGCTTGAGAGAATCCAAAGAACAGTGCTTTGTAGCACACACTTTGCTCTCCAAGATGGACCAAATTGGAAAATTTAGGGTGTTCACATTGGGGTAGTAAGGGGGCCATTGTGAAATCGAAATGAAGTCGGGGACATTCGTCCACAGTCACTCCTGGGTCATCCGTGCCTTGTGAGCTGGCCCTGAGTCCTGCTGGAGTCCTCCATCGAAATATTTTGTGGCTCACGGAACCAGGCAGTCTTCCAGGATGCTTTTCCGGTAAACATCAGCGTTGACCTTCATCTTCTCAGGCTCGAAAACGAG